TCATTTCGTTTAAGGAAGCGAGTAAAAAAGGATTCGTAACCTGACCTCACCAGAAGCTGTAGGGCGATGGTTGCTGAGCTTTTGTCCGTCTTGTGACGGATATCGTCAGAAGAGGACACAATGTTTGGAGCTAATTCACGAAAACACGAAGACAAGAGAAGTGGTCGACTGGAAACCTGCCTAAATCTGTCCACTTAATGGGAATCTTCAGTTTTTGTTGGATATCCTATGCTTTGCCCACATGCTCAGAAAACAGTGAAGTGGCTGTGGATGACATGTGAAGCATGAAACGGATGCAATCGCGACCGAACAGCTGCCTCCCGCCAAAAGTGACTTTACTTTTCGATCCTGCAATGCTGCCACATGTGATTTTACTCCATTTCCAGTTAGACTCTGAGAAGTATTCGTGTTTTGGTGAATTTTCGTTGAGCATGCTGTCCTGCTCCGGCGATGCCCATCACACGACGGACCTACAGCTTCCGATGAGGCCAATTTACGAAATGAAATGGACAGAAATAACTAACCGTTCAAGTCAGGATGGTTCTGAGCAGGCCCAGAAAGCGTCTGTCCACGCCTGAAAGGGAAGAGGAAATGCGGTTTAACTTGTTCCATCTGCAGGACGTGGGAGAAAATGATCAGCAAGATTTGATTGCAAAACTCCGTGAGAGTGGAGCCGTTTGCGACGAAAGCTAATAATCTTAACCAACAAACCGATGCCTTCATCGTCTGAAGTCAATTTTGCCATTCAATGTCATGTTAAAAACCCTCTTTGCGACCAAAGCCTCAAAACATGCCACCTCCAATCCCACTGCATCCGGCTCCGAGTCACAGTTACCGTCCGCCAAGTACCGTTGCCGACAGGGCTTACATGTTGTCATGTCTCATGTGCCGTCAAAGATGTAAGTATAGGCGTCACAGTTGCATGGACATCTGAAGCCGTTTTAGAAGAATCCAGTTTACCATCAATTAATGGACAGTACACTAAGACAGTTTGGCCCAACCGAACCCGAAAAGCTTTTACATCAACTGTTTTCACCCTATTTCGTTTAACGTGATGCATTTTCCCACAATCTAATAAGTAGACCTTACAGTTCCATGGAATTTCACATGGTCTTGCAGTCACATGGGCGGATTGCAGCTTCGACCTCATCAACACCCCCGTAGAAGTCGAACCATGACAGCGCAGTGGTATCATCCCATTGTATATACAGCAGGTCTTCAGTTGGGCGGAACTGAAGTTGCCGTGTGCTCGACTGGGCAAACGACGTGCACCTCAATTCAAACAAGCCATTGATGTTGAATAGTGGGAGTCTGGATGAAGCAAACATATATTTTTCACTGCGATTGAGGATGCTACTCATTTCGCATATGAGTAGTATTCGAACGCTGAGAGTGCGTTTGGGGTAAAATGCATGGCTTCTTGAGGCCCATTTATCCCATTTAATTGGGGAAAGACTCAACTATCAGTTCTCTATTAGGAGTACATGACCTAGGCTGACTAAGTGCTTATTTAAGCTAATAATCTGGAAATTGAAGTCTATGCTAGACCTGTACTTGCCGATTTGCAGAACTCTGATGGACGCCCAGCATAAATTCCAAGTGCCTTTGAGGCGTGTAGAGGCTGAAGACTCTGAAGTGTCTGGGCGTCCGCGGCAGCATCTACAGCAAACCGGGCCAGCCCCATTCAGACCGTCCAGATCAAATGCACTCGGCGAGTTGGTGGCGGTGGGCGTGTGATCAAGTGATCTGACCGAGCTTCCTCGACACGACATGATCAGATCCGATGTTGACTTGTGACCGGTGAGCGCCGTCCTGTGACCCCATCGTGTGAAAGACATCGCACCGAAAACACACTAGACACTAAAGCTACATGCAAAAACTGGTTTTCGTACAATCCCTAAAATAAATTTTATGCTGGGGTACCTTTGATTTCGCTTAGAAGGGGTTCGTAAGTTGGCTTCTGCGGGAGGTGAAGAGGTCTCAGCTCCGCCTTT